CACACACACACACACACACACACACACACACACACACACACACACACACACACACACACACTCCTACCCAGGACCCACTCTCTTGAATCACATCTCACATCCTAATTTTCTGTCACCTCCCAATAATACATCAGATTGTGAATGCTTCAATGAGATCATCATGTCCCAAAAGCTCTGTTTCTGAACACTACTGCATAGGGAACCAAGCCTTCAGTGTGTGAGCCTCTGGAAGGCATTTCAGATCCAACACATTCCTTGTGTGAAAGCTGGAGAAAATCCCTTACTCGCAGGGCTGTCGGGAGCTGCTAATTAAATGAGCTGATGTGGTGAGGCAAAGCAGCCCCCAACGCTGCACACATACATGTTGTGGATTTTTCTTGTCATTTTGGTTTTGTTTGGTTAGTTTTGGTTTTGCGGGGGTTGGGGAGGGTAGTTTTTTTATTTTGGGGACACAGTCTTACTCTGTAGCCCAGGTAGGCCTGGTACTCACAGCAATCCCTCTGCCTCAGCCTCCCAAGTGCTAGGATTGCGGGAGTAAGCCACCACACCTGGTCCACATTTTGTTTAAAGCTGTGGGCAGTCCCTGTGCTGAGCAGTACACCTTACAGACCAATTACAAATAATCTTTATTTCAAAGATAATGAAGTTTAAAACAGGTGTGGTGCTATGCCTGGAGCTTAGACCCAGCTCACAGAAGGCTGAAGTATTTGAGAATAGCATAGGTAGTGAGACCTCAGAAGAAATGCAGAAGGGAGGGAAGGAGAGGGGGAAGGAGGGACGTAGAGAGCTGGGCAAGGTAGTCCATGCCTGTGATCCCAACACTTGGGAGGTGGAGGTAGGAGGATCAGGAGTTCAAGGTAATCCTTGGCTACTTAACAAGTTGGTAGCCATCCTGGGATGTACGAAGACCATGTCTCGGCACCCTCCCACCAAAAATAAAAAAGGAGGGAGGGGAAAAGGTTTAGGAAAATGTTCTGACTGCACGTCTTCCTCCTGCTCCACTCTTCTCAGAGGACTGTGTTTCCCAGGCACCCTTACCTGCTGATATCAAGGTAGTTTCAGCAACAGGAGGCACAGAGAAGATTGGAGGAAGGAAAGGAGCAGAAAATCCATAGCTCACCAAAGCATCCCTGCTTCCTATGGGAACTGCGGTAGGCTCCATCTCCTTCAGGTCCCTCCATACATAGCCCTTCCTCTGTGCTGTGATTCCCACTTA